TGTCACCCTTAAAAATATATACCATATTTTTCAGACTATAAAATGCTCTGGACTATAAGATGTACACTAGCTTTAGAGGAGGAAAACAAGAAAAAAAAATCTGCCTCTGCCTTCCAGCATCCATCTAGCCTCCTTGCAGCAAACAGCTTGGTCAGCTTCAGCACATTATCACAGCCCCAGCACATGGCTCTTCAGGGCTCTGCTCTATTGTGTCCACCACTGCCCAACTGAGTTGCTGCCACCACCAGAATGCTGGAGCCTTCACCACTGAGCATTTGATTGGCGATTGGATTTACCTCCTGGAATACTGCTGATCCGCTGTTCTAGGAGGCGGAGATCACTGCAGCCCATTCGCTGAAGCCCGTTCAGTGTCGCAGCTCGTTCGTCACCAATCGTGGTGATTGATAGCAAGCAGGCCCCGGCGAACAGGTGGCTGTGGCAATCCCTGCTGCCTAGAACAGCTGATTGGCACGACACCAACCCCCCTCCCCCTGCCTCAATGTTCACTCTATAAGACACACAAACATTTCCATCCACTTTGGGAGGGGGGTGTCTTATAGTCCAAAAAATATGGTATACATAACAGATACTAGAGTATATGACTTTTAAAAATCTGCATCCAATTAATTAGGAATTGGGGGAAAGGCTTCTATGCTGTGGCAGAAGGGTATCTTCTGAAGAGTATTTGTATTGGGCTGGTGCCTATTGCTGCCAAGGTATATTCTCCCTATTCAAAATATTGATTTGCCTGCCTGCCTGAAGTCCTGAAAAGGCCATCATCTTCCGTAGCAACCACATGTATTATGTTTCAAATGTCCAGTTGAAAGGAGAAACACATTTATTAACTAAACACATGCTTAATTCAGCTCTCTTAAAAAAAAACCATCCATGTTATGTGAGAAACACATTAAAAAGGCAAATTGAGGTACCAGGGATTATGAGGAAAGAAGATGAATATTAAATAGGGGATATCCAAATATGACAATGACAATTTAAATTGCTACTTTTTATCATCTTTCCTAGCACCCTTCAGATTTAATGAGATTACAACTTTTATAATGCAATTATGGACATTGTGGTGTCACTACAACACAAAACTACCAGATTAGAGGATCATAAAACCATGATCAGCACTTTAGACTCCACCATAACTTCTAAAATTATATCCATCCATCACCATTTTGCCTTTAATGAGTTTTTCCTCTATAAGCGCAATAATTTATAATTCTTTTGCATAACTTGGAATCTGAGAGGAAAACAAAATTTGCAACACACAACAAGCCATCAAAATATTCCAGACCAAGACTGAAGGACAAAATCGTATCATTTATTACCATTTACAAACTGCATTATTGATACAAATGTTTTAACCAATAACAATATATGAATATCAGAATATATTACAGCACATTAAAACATCATATAGGTTTGCAAACATACATAGCAATTTGGTTTGTACCATATTAAAAAAAAATACAAAAAGGATAAGTAGTAAAAGGAGAAGAAAACATTAGGCTTCTTAATTGCCTTGGTCAGTTTATTCAGTATATACAAAGACAGAAAAATGTTTCCAATTTCCAAGTCCAGCAACTTTTCAACAAGACCTAATGCCACTGGCAGTACCAAATTTACTCTCAGCGAATAAGATAAGAAGAAATAATCACTAGAATGAGCACAATGTTGGCTGGGAACAATGGATCATATAATCCAATGCACTGGGTTCAGGAAAATTGCTGAAGTACCACTTTACCCCTTCTGAGTTTTCAGTACCTCGGTGTGACAAAACATTAATGAATGTGTAGGATGACAACTGGAAGCCCTAGGGCCAAATTCAAAGTTCAAATTTACCAACTCAAGAAATGGCAAGAGATGCAAAGCAATTTGCCAGCAAGTTATGCTAGGGTAACAGAAGGTGGTCATTCTAAAGGAAAAGAACTGGACTGGTGAACAGAATCATTTTAGAACAGTGCAGGTAATCCTGCTCTAAATTCATTTACCTAAATATCATATGGGACTTGCAACTTCCACAGTAACAGATTATTTATGCCTGGCACTGTTATCATGTTTCCTCTGCATACACTTACACTTGACATTATGGCACTATCACAAATGATGCTGAAAGCACAAAACTTCGACAACCCCCTCTTCTTTACACATTAAATTTTAAAAAGTCAAGGAAATTAATTCAAGAATAGCTACTGCTCAGCATTACTTGGAAGACAGAATAAGCAACAAGGAGACAATTAAGAGGAGGAGGTATGGAAAGAGTCAGCTTGACAGCAAAGCAGTCTTACAGTCTTGCCTCTGGAAGGGCCGGGTGGAAAAAAGAGAATTTGGGGAGAGTTCTTCTTAGGGCAGTGAATCTTTCTTCTCATTCGGTGAACACACATAAAGAGACAGGCAAAAGGGGAAGAATACACTGTTCTTCAAACATCATGTTGTGCAAAGTCCACCAGAGTCTTAAAATAGATAGTAGCTGGAGAGTAGGAGCAGGTTTTAAAACTGCTTTTATTGTGCTGGCAGTTGATCTAGCTTACAAGCAGAGGGTAGAAAAGGAAAGGCCTGAAAGGAACACACCACAGGCCTCTTAACACACCTTTCCTCTTCCTACCCATTGCATATTTTTGTCCCCATGACAAGCTGCTTTCTACACTTCTGGTACAACCAAGTTATCTATGAAAATTTATTTCCAAACATGGATTGCACTTGTGCGAATAGCTGCTTTACAGAGAAACAGCTACAGGAAAAACAACCAAAATCCCTGGGATTTAACTTTCAAAAATAGAAAATGTGCTTGTGTTTAGTTAACCCTTCCTACTAGGAAGGGAAGGGACATGAGGGGAAGGGAAAAGCAAGGAATAAGGAGGAGTGTAGTAATTCTAGGTACCATGTTCTTCTCTAAAGGGAAAGGATTGAAAATGGTGGAAGAAGAAATCTCTTCCCTTTAGAAGTTGTGCATTTCTATCTGGCCATCTTGAAGCACAAATTAGCAAAAGAAAAGATTCCATCCCATCCCCATCAATTTAAATCACAAATCTCTTTTCACCACCTCAGCATATTAATAAAATTTGTTTTGGAAAGGCACTGTATTTTTTTTCCAACCCAAATTTACAAGATTAAACAAACTTTTTTTAAAAAAAATGCAGAATGGGTTTCTATAAAGGCTACTAAAATATTTCTCATTCCAAAGACTTGGAATAAGGTAATTCTGGCTTTCCACAAACTCATCTGCTTGCCAAATCAAGGATTATAATACCGTGACCACCAAGCGGCTCATAAATGGATTAGAGCAGGGGAAGCGGGAGGGTCACATATTTCTGGATTGCCAAAAGGTGGAAAAGTACGAAAGTTGGGAATTCAAAGACTGCAGAGTTCCAAAGCAGGAGGGGAGGGGCTACACCATGCAGAGTGCATGGCTGATGAGAAGACATGTGAGGTCAGGAAGAGAAGCCAAGAAGAGAAGGCACCACTATACTCAGCATTTTAGGCAGCTGCTTATAAAAATGACAGTTGCTTCCATCACCATGAATAATACAAGTAGTTCTCAACTCATGACAGTTCATTTAGTGATTGTTCAAAGTTACGATGACACTGAAAGAAGTGACTTATGATCATTTTTCACACTTATGACCATTGAAGCATCATATGATCAAAATTCAGATGCGTGGCAACCATTTATGACGGTTGCAATGTACCAGGCTCACGTTATCACCTTTTTCAACTTTGTGACAAGCAATCAATGGGGAAGCCAGATTCACTTAATAACCATATTACCAGGAACGTGCAGTGAGGGGAGGTGGGGCCTCACCAGTGTCATGAGGAAAAGAAAAGAAAAATTAAAAGGAAAAAGGCTAAGGTAGTTGCTGCCAGACTTCAGAGTCACAGTGAATGACTCTGAATCTGCTTAGTGCTAACTGCAGGGGGAGGCGAGAGAACTATGGGCCTCCTTTGCATAAGGAATTTTTTGCCTTTTAACCCTTGCTCAGAGTTAAGCAAGGGTTAAAAGGCGAAAAATTCCTTATGCAAAGGAGGCACGTGGTTCTCTGCCTCCTGATCTGGCAGCAGCCTAAGTTGCCTTTTTTACATTTTTTACATTTTCATCATGGCGGGTGGACAAGAGGAGAGTTGAAATCCACAGCTGGAAAAGGTATGTGGATCGGACGGAGGGAAGAGGGGGAATTCAAAATTGTTGTAATTTTATTAGTAATTTTTTATTGTAATTTGTGTGTGTGTGTGTGTGTGTGTGTGTGTGTGTTTCTTCACTCAAACAAACTCTCTTTCAATTTGAGAGTTTGTTTGAGAAGAGAGGGGCAGCCCTCTCCCCCCCCCACTGGGAGCCTCATCCTGCTCCCCTCTCCCTTTCCTCCTCCTTCTCTTCCCTTTCTTTGCCAGCTGCCGTCTCGCCCCCCCCCGACTCCTCCGTCCCCGCCGCTGTGTTCGACAGGCCAGGCATCTCACATTTATGTCTGCCATAAATGCGAGATGCCTGGCCTGTCGGACACAGTGGTGGGGTCGGAGGAGGTGGGTGGTGAGGCAGCAGAGCGCGCCAGCGGCAGGGACGTTCTTGCTGCTGTGTCCGACAGGCATCTCACATTTATGTTCGCCATAAATGCGAGATGCCTTGCCTGTCGGACAGAGCAGCGGGGACATTGCTTCTTGCTGCTGCCGCGCTCTTGCCTCACCAACCATAATCCTCACTGCATGTCACTGCATATTACTAACTTAACAACTGCAGTGATTTGCTTAACTGTGGCAAGAAATATAAAATGGGGCAAAACTCACTAACGATCTTGCTTAGCAACATACATTTTGGGCTCAATTGTGGTTGTAGGTTGAGGACTACCTTATGGAGGGGAAATCCCATAAATTAATTATTTTAGGCTGTCACAGGACCACAGAATTTGAGAAATATCTAAACTATACTATACAATAAAACAGGGATGTCAAACCTGCGGCCTGCGGGCCAGATGTGTTACACGCTGGCCACCCCCACCCCCAGTTTAGCAAAGAGGGAAAAAGTCATGATACATCCATGTGACTGCAGGCTGCCATGAGTTTAACACCCCTGCTATAAACAATGCTGAGAATTGCAGCAGGCATTTCAGAAATTCAAATTGTGGAAATTAAGACTGTAGTTCTACTACTCTACAAATTTAAACCACTATCAAGTATTGTAGCTCTTAGAACAAGAATTGTAAGGATTATAAAACTGCTTTTCTAATAAAGGTCAAAGAGTTGTATGGATGAATCATTTGCCTATTACATTGGCCAGCCAAATCTGCTTAGGAAAGTCACATGGAAGTAGTGGACTTTCTGAATTGTCCCTAGCCCATTTCTAGCCAGGTCCTGGAAACCAATGCATGCAAGAGATTTTTGATAAAGAACTGCTAGTGTGCAAACTGTCCCACAATGTTTGATAGGGAAATATATGACTGAAAAGATTTAAAACCAAAGCAAAGATGTACTCTGAAAACAGACTTTATGAACACATGTAAGAAAGGGCATATGAATAAAAGGTGAAGCTTCAAGACAATTATTCCAGCAACTAAGAACTTAGCACAAGGCGCCAAGGCAACCATATTGTGGTTAATGATGTAAACTGCTCCACGAAGGGCTAGTGATGCTATGCCAGTCGAAGGCACTGTATCCCTTCAGCTTTCAACTGCAATTCTGCATTTTCTGAACAGAAAAACAAGTGGAACATAAGAATTAATTAATTACTAGACCAAGGCCTTTTCAGACATTGATAGGATCCCCTCTTGTAATTTATTGTGTCTTCCAGCATCATCGTCCATTGCTGTGGAGATGAAGAACCTACCCTCAATACTGTTATTTTAGTAAGGGATCAATTGAGATTATGGAAAATGTAGTTTTAAACCATTAACAGGGAACCTGCTGCCACCAAAGAGGCAGCTTTGGAATCTATTTCTAGACTCCCATTTAAGAAAAGACCAAGTAATTACTATGATTATGGGAACTAGAGCAGATCAACATATTCATCCTCATCCTCATCTACAATCCAAACACTAAACTGTGGCCTTATAAGCTTCTGCTTCCTGCCTTGACTCTTTTCTCTCTGCTTATAGAAGTTGTTAACCCTTTTTTTTCCAGGCCATGTTATTGTTCTGGATACAGTACATATCTACAATTTCTAGCAACCGTAACATCACAAAACATTAGCACATTGTTGCCCCTTTCCAAGCACAAAAATGTCTATTACTACCTTCTGTTTAAAAGCAGCTTGATTTGACAAGTTTTGGAACCAAGATGCTTAAGGGAGAGGGATAAAAATATAGGACTAAAAAATACATAATTGAAATGGAGATGCATAAAATGGACTGGGGATGGGTGGGGAAGGAAGTAATCAGTCTCCTGGCTCCTTTTGACAGTCATCTGATAAAAGGAGCCAGAAAAGCCATATGTGCTTCTACAAGAGCCTGGTTGATTTGGGACTGTGCATTTTTTCTTTCCAAAACTGTGCATCAAACCTCACTACAAATCAAGGACATAAATAATTACAATAAAAAGAACAATCATAATACAGAAAGGGCTGCAGTTTTTATACAAATGCCACCATGCAGATACAAGATCACAATTTTTATTTGAAAAATTAAAAAAGGGGTTTGGATTTTTCTTTTTCTTTTTGCATTTTTCTTAAATTAAATCTGGTCAGTTGATAGAAAATAAGTATGTATAATTTCCCCACCCCATCCACCGCTGTCCTTATCTATACATAATATATATATAAAACTCAGAATCGAATAAAAATAATGCTCCTTTTAAGTCAAGGCTGACATGACTGGGCTACCATTGACCATTGTTTTGCGCCCCCTGCTGGCCAAAGGTTGCATCTGGTGGCAGTTCGAGGTGCCGTTTAGCATGGCACCAGTAGCAGGATGGGTTGGAATGCTTACAGTGGTGATATTGGAGCTTGGGGAGCCATGGGAAGGTGTGACAGGACTTGGCAATGAGGAGGAGGTGGTAGCCGGCAAGGTGGCTGGGCTATGAGCTTTGTCACTGACAGATTCACACTCTGAAGCCCCACTGGTGTTGGTACACTCTGAGTTGGGAAGTTGAGAAGACAGTTTTAACCTCTTGCAGGCTGGCTGAACACGATATTTCAGTGGGAGAGGGCCATTCTATTGAAGCAAAGAAACAGGATGTATTAGCAACTTGCATATTGCTGTTTCTCCAAAAGAAAACGATCGCAAAGAAGCACAGTAAAACATCAGGAATAATTTCAACAATTATAGAACCAAAAATGCATAAAAATGCAGCTGTACCAGAGTTAAAACATTTGTCAGTATATTTTAATATTGACCTAGTGGCATGGTCCTCAGGCAGTTATTTATCCAGTGCAAATAACCATGTACCAGAGACCACCTTATTAAATATGATCTTGCTACTGGTCCAGACATAGAGCGGCCCTGTTCCAGATTCCAACTCATGAGAGATAGCAAATCCAGAAGGCAAGCTTTCCCAATAGAGATAGACCTTGGCTTGCAACTATTCATTAAATGACTATTCAAAATTATAATGGTCCTGAAAAAAGTAACTTACAAACTGGTTCTTGTCCTTACAACATTGAAACATCCCTATGGTCAAAGGATTAGAATTTGGGCACTTAGCAACGGGCATGTATTTACAATGGTTGCAGCATTCTAGAGTCATGTGATTGTTATTTGTAGCCTTCCCAGCCAGCTTCTGATGAGCAAAATCAATGGGGAAGCTGGATTCATTTAATAATCACATAATTCATTTACCAACTGCAATGCTTTGCTACAATCATGTGAAAAGGTCATAAAATAGTGTATGACTCGTTTAACAATTGTCTGGCCCTAATTGTAGTCTTAAGCAGAGGACTATCTTTATTGGCTCTTCATGCAATGCACTATTTGCAAAGATATGCTTGGACACTTTGCTGACTTTTAAAAATACCAAAAAAATGTTTTGTGTTAAGCAGGCCTTTGGTCCCTTATGAAGGATTGTAAGTGAACAACTATATTTTAAACAATACATCATGATTTTATACAATACTTAGCACATCTACTGGATTAGGATAGTATATAAATATTGGTTGATAAGTTGATTAGTTGACTGATAGACAGATGGGTATCATAAGCTTTTGTTTAAAACCAGGAATTTTGAGAACTGGCTGTAGACAGAGTCCATAATCACCATTACCACCAGTAAGAAAACACATCTCCAAGGAGGTTATTTACCCAGTTTGGTCCAGTTCATGCACCAGGTTTTTTAAAAAAATTCTGTTTACCAAGGTGAGGAAAACTAAGCAATTTGGCATCTTACTTTTCTGTTTGCTTGACGATGCCAGCCAAGAAATGGTTCAGATTAAATATGTGGCATTTACCTTACATTCCCCAAAAAACCAAGCAACAAAGAGAATCTACAGTGAGAATCTATCTCTTGAATCTATGGGTCCCACAGTCCCATCTCCTCTTGCATAGTTTGCTCTACCTCTTACCTGCTCAGGAACCAGTTATTGCCTAATTTGAATAATGCTCTGCTTCTACTTGGAACCAACACATAAGCCAAACTTCCTAGTGTGGTCATACAAAGGCTTTCCCCAACTAAACCTAGAATATGTTTTGGAACTATTGAATGCTTTTTTTACATATGTAAAATTTATAAATAGCCAATAATTAATGTCTATAGAGATTCTCAGTCATGGTTGTTTTCTTCAAAGGGCAACTGGACTGTTTTTTCCTAGAAGAAGAAGAAGAAGAAGAAGAAGAAGAAGAAGAAGAAGAAGAAGAAGAAGAAGAAGAAGAAGAAGAAGAAGAAGAAGAAGAAGAAGAAGANAAGAAGAAGAAGAAGAAGAAGAAGAAGAAGAAGAAGAAGAAGAAGAAGAAGAAGAAGAAGAAGAAGAAGAAGAAGAAGAAGAAGAAGAAAACAACTGATGAAACTTCTTGGGTGAGAAGCTAAATGTCGTAGTCTTCTTTCTCAAGGAAAAAACAGCCGAGTTGCAGTTTTTAAAAAGAAGCATCTTTAAGCCTACAATTAAGTTATATGTTTTTTAGTTGGAAAGAGGCAGTTTGATGTTGTGGTTAAGGTGCTAAGCTAGAAACCGGGAGAATGTGAGTTCCAGTCCTGCCTTAGATATAAAGCCATCTGGGTGACTTTGGCCCAACCTCTCAGCCCTAGGAAAGAGGCAATGACAACCACTTCCAAAACCTTCCCCAAAAAACTGCAAGGATTAGTCCAGGAAGTCATCAAAAATCAAGATCGACTTAAAGGCACAAACAAAACAAAACAAAGAACAAAAGTAAAATTAGTTGAATCTTAATTTTTTCCTTCTCCATTTCAGGATGTCTTTGAATGGAGAAGAAAGTGCACTTACAGTATATCTGATATGTATTTTAAAAGCTTCTTGAATTTGGCATCCCTCAGATCTTAAATTCACATAATTCCTACTTTCATTCCAAAGTAAGGCTAAAATTTCAGAGTTTTTAAAATAATTTGACTCTCCTAAAAAAAATCAGTTTCTACCCTCTTATTTGGATTGGCTTTGTTTTATTTGGTTAAAAAATCTATGCATTATGTTTTTCATGGACAAATAACACTCTAAAAACAATTTATTGAAATATGATTGTATTTTACTGTAGTTGTGATGGAGTCCCTAACAGACCCTGGGGGCAAAGAGAATGCAGTAAGTCTGTTACTAAAAGATTCCTCAGTCCAGAGGAACGGCAAAGTATCAAAAGAAATCCTTGATGTAAATTGATCTGGGGAATTATTTTGGCAGTCTTCCAAGATTCTATTATATTACCTTACCTGCAATAAAAAAATCAGTCAAGAAATCCAAGTGGTTCTTGTTTCCTGAGCTTGCCAGCTTTAAAAGGCTGGACAGTAGTATATTTTATTACAAAATATTATGGAGAACTTCAAAATTTTATTAGCCTTATGTGTAAGCATAACTTTCAAGTGACTGACTAAGCTGTTATTTATCTTTCGCTTTTCTCCATTAATGAACACATTTTAATACAGTCCCAGATGTTTTTTAAAATTCTAAGTTTTTTTAATTCCCACGTTGATATATTGAAATTTAAAAATCTGTCCAAATTTGCTCATTAGTGTGAAAATTAAATCTCATTAAGATGATGCAAGTTAATTTTTTTTTCAAATAGAGCATTTTTTTTCTTACTAACCCTTCGCCAAGGATAGATATAAGTTATGTCCATGAGAGTGTAATATTCTTTTAGAGGTTCATCTTCATAGAGAACTTCCACCTAATAAACAAAGTTTAAGACATGCAGAATTATATAACACAGGCATAAATTTAAATATTAAATATGGAATAAATATTAAATATGGAACAGATTTCAGTAACCTGAATATCTCTTTTTGGTATTTATTTAATACCAAATTTATTTAAATTTACGACACAATAAAAGCAAACTAAAAAGAGAGAATAAAAAAGGGTGCAGAAAACTATATAAAGAAAAATAAAAAGGACAAAATAAGGATATAGGGGGGGGAAAGAAATATATATATATATTTCCCACCTTCTTTACAAGTATAAACAATTTTAATAACTTACCATCTTTTCTTAAAATACAACAAATGATTTCTTCTTCCCATATCCCATCTCTTATCTATAAATAAAACCTCATTATTTCAGCTCTAGTGTCTGCAAAAGTCCATTAAGTGTTAGCAGAAATAACATCTACTTTAACCTTGATCAAATAAACCAATTTTATATCCCTTCCTTCTCCTATATTCTGAAACATCTAAAAATCTCACTCTTTAACCCCTTGAATTGTCTTAGAAACTGATTTATTTTCATTTTGTTCATCTCACAATTTTTAAAAAAGTTTTAACAAGCCTCCTTGATAAATACAGTGTAGGAAAATTATCCAGGTCACTCTCTTGTGTTGTATAGTGGAATCTGTAGCTGAAGGGAGGGGAGGAGTGGAAAGACTAGCTAGCCTTGAACTGCTGGTGGAGAGGAAGTGGTGAAAAGCAGATCTTTCCTAAACCTTGCACTGCTTATCTAGCAATTTCCATAGTGAGTACATTATTCTAGCTAGATTCCCGCCAATAGGAAACTTGCAATAAATAAATCATTCTGATCCATTCATTATGTTTTTCTGGTTCCTTGCACCTATCAAGGCTGCTACTTCTTTGATATATTTATTTTAATTATTAAAACATCAGCTGATTTTTGTTGCTTGTTCAATGCAATGTTTTTTTCTTTATCAATCATATGGCTTGTTTTGAAATCCACATGAATGTCACTTTCAATATTGTAATGTAAAACTTGTTCCTCTTTCATAACAACTTTTAGATGCAATCCAACCATAAAGCCAGACATTCAGCAGATCAACTTCCAGGTTCATTGTCAAAAAATTTCCTTCAGTATGGCCAATGTTAAAATATTTTGCTTAATTCTGTATTAATAAATTGAGTTTGAATGGTATTCTCCTTTAAAGATAATTTTTAGTTTCTCCTAGTATCCTCTAACATCCAATTTTTAAAGTCTTAATTATGTTTTTAAAGCATTCAAAATAAAAGTTTTCCACACATTAAAGCCTCTCTATAATTAATTCCCAAAACTTATTTCAAATTTAATTGGACCCTTAACATGTTTCTAAATTTCTAAAATCAAATTTTTAATCAGTCTTTTACTGTTTATTACAAAAGAAATCCTTCAACTTATATTTAAAATTTCTTTTACTAAAGATTGAAAAAAACTCGTCCACTGTTATTAAACCTTGTAATAAAAGATTTGTAAAGGCTGAAAATCAGTTACCAAACAGTTTCTGAAAGTGATTAGAAAAAGATCTATGCAAACCCAGTGGCCTTTTAAAGGCCAAATGTAATTTGACCAAGATGGCTACTCCTTTGTCTCCCAGAGCTCTAAAAACACTAGTGATTGCTGTCTTGAGGTCTCCTCATGAGAAGCAGATTTCTCGAGCACTTGTGAGTGATCTCAAGTTCTCTCCTTGGCTAAGAATTAATAAAGAGGCAGGTTACTTGCCAACTCTTCATTCTGCTGCAATTGTCTCCGCTTTTTGAAAAGTTATCTTCAGTCCACCATGTCTTTCCAAGAAGTCCAATCCAGTAACCTGTATTTCTTAATGTTTCTCTTTCCCCTTCCCTCCTTCCCCCCTCTCCTTGTCAAGCTGTGAAGATAAGGAAATCTGAAAGCCACGGTTAGTTCCCAGCCTAATTTCATATGGAGTTATTAAGAAATAAATATAGGTTGAGTTGGGGGGGGGGGATGCATATACATATCTTGTCTATGCCACAATAATCTAGACAATGGGCTTAGTTTATAATATAAAACAGTCCTATTTTTACTCAGAGTGAATGGGATGCAATAATATCGATCCAATAGGAGAATAAATACATTCTGGTTGATTCTATGCCCATGGAAATATTTAACCACATTGTTTTAATAAACAATTAGGAAAATAATGTTGTATTACGTTTTTGTTAAATCCTTAAAACAACAAATTCCGTTCTACCTTCTTGATTTTGGGTGGAGAGAGAGATAGAGAACATACAAACTACAACTATTCCATCTTGATTTTTGAGCTTAGCCAACTCTATATTTGGAGAAGCTAGTACGAGGAGCTGCAGATTTGGTTTTTTTTTTTCACCTTTAACTATGAAGAATTGTAAATATACAAAAGACCAGCAGCAACCTCAGCCCTTGGACCAAGAGAATGGTGGGTGCATGCCTGAAACTTACTTTGTATTTAGGGGGAACATCCATCTTGTTCCGGAGAAACTTAGCCAGGTGCATGATAGTCATAGCAGCAGGACATCGGAGGAATCTCATGCTGTTCTTCTACAGAGGAATGTGAGAGAGGCAAGAGATGGTTTTAATTGGAGTGGGCCGGACTGCACAGCAGGACATTGAAGTTGAAATAGGTATGGAAATTAAGGGGTGAAGGTTGGGGGAGGAATGCAAGAAGTTCTCAGATCACAGGCAAAGTGGGGATGAAGCTTGAGTTTGGAAGAAGGAGAAAAAGTCTGCAAGGAAGGGGAGGGGAGAGAAAGGAAAGGGAAAGGCAAAATATAAAGAAACAAAAGGGGAAAAAAAGAAATATGGAAGTCATATTGATGGGAAAGAAAGTAGCAGAAAGTAAAGCAAACAATGCTGACATTTGTATGCCCAGGAGCTCACTTTAGCCCAAGTTCAAGATTATTTTTAATAATATGATTTAAGTTTAGGCTTCATATAAATATTTTTCTTCACATCCATATCCTACAACTTTCTTCCAAATAATAAAATACTAAGGCTACACAATCTGAGGATGCATATTGCCGCTAGATGGTAACAAATATACACAGGAAACCCTAGCTGTTTGCTGCTATAAAAGTTGTCAGTCTTAAAACATACAGCTGTTTAAATACAGAACCCACACCATGATGTACCTCACCTTATCTTTTTCTATGTTTCCATTTTCAATAGTCCCTCTATTTTCATCTCTGAAGAATTAAGAAGACAAATGAGTTAAATATGTGTAAAAATGCAGATACAGTGGTACCTTGATAGTCAACTGCTTTGAAACTTATCAGATTTGGTACTCAATATATTTTGATGTGGAACATTGTCCTGGTACTCATCATTTGTTTAGACAAGCTAAAGCCTGTCGGTGTTGGTTGCTTTGCGATTCACTATATTATTTCTTATGGGGAAAAATTGTTTGGTACTTAATCATTTTTAGTAACCATCAGGCTTCTCGGAGTCAATTAACAATAAGTACCGAAATACCAGGTCACTCAGAATCCAGAAATATGATTATTTCTACATGCATTCTTTTCTAATAGTATTTTAAAAAAAAAAACTTCCCTGTAATAAAGTACTATTAGGCAGAATAAAATAAGTATTTGGAGGAACTGGGTTTGCATGCTGCAAATGGCTGAAAATAGGATGATGATGATTGTGACAACGACAATGCATTTTTTTACTTCCAGGCTGAGGCAATTGTGTTAGACCTGTTTTGGCTATCAGTATTAAAGACTAAGCACCTTGATTTGGGTGGGAGCATCGTTTGCTACTGTGGCTTATGCAGTAAAATATCTTCCTTTAGTGCTAATGGCATAAGACTTTACAAGAAGCAATCTCAGAAAATAGGGACCTATCCTTAGAAAAAGGAAGCAATGGGAAATATGCTATTGATGGCTCTGCCATCAGAATTGTCCTTTCACCCTAGTTAATATTTCTGTTTTTCATTAAGAGCCAGACAAATATATACATGTACAAATCACTGTTTGCCAAATTGCATCTAAGAGAGAAGCTGTGTAATCTCTTGTTAAATTAACTTGAAGGGGATATAAATTACCATAACTAACTCTCAGTGCATACTGAAGATAGGGAATAAGACATAATAAGAATTAGGAAGAGGCCAAAAACTGTAATGAGAAAGGATATAACTTTCTACGGTGATACTTAAAAGTTTGTGAACCCTTTTGAATTTTCAACATTTCTGCATAAGTATGACTTAAAACATGATCTGTTATTCTCACATCCTAAAATAGATTAAGAGAACCCAATTAAGCAAATGAGTCAAAAAACAAAACATTGTGCTTGTTTGTTCATTTATTTATTAAAGAAAATAATCCAAAACTATATATCTACAGTATGTATGGTAAAAGTATGTGGATTTCTAGGATTATCAATTCATTTGAAGAGGTAATTAGAGACTAATTAGAATAAGTACACAGCAACATTTTTGTCTCATTCGTATAATTGAATTATATTTATCCAGTTTTAGGACGTGTAAAAATAGTTCATACTAGGTTCATATTTACGCAGGAATATTGAAAAATAAAATGGTTCATAAACTTTTAAGTAACACTGTATCTAGTAAATGTAAATGTGATGGTTGCAAAGTTTGGGCAGAACTACTTCATTTTTCTAAATCATTTCCTCACTATTTGCTCACTAGATACCCACATACAAAGGTAAAAAAGTAAAAGTAAAAAGATAAAAACAAATTTTAAAAAATTCTGTTGTAAAACAGAAATAAAAATTGCTAATTGTGGAAGATGGGTAGTTTATATATGCCATTAGAAAAGCCTCTACTTTATATACAGAAGATACTTAGTTCAGTAAATCTCCAAAAAGAAATGACAAGTATTCTTGAACCCCTGGAGAGATGATACCAGTCAGCATTGATAATTCTGTGCTAAACAATCTAATGGTTTGAGGTGGACATGAACATTTTCTCTGTTATACAGGAGCAAATCCTCAGCAGTCTTACTTGTCCTTTGCTTCCTTTGATCCTGTATTCTAAAAGGATGTGAGAAGGTAATGAAAGTTTGCCTTTATGTCATATGTTTTAGCCTTCAGCCCACTAATTATCTTTGTTACTCTTCTCCGCACTCATTTCAGAATCTGAACTTTTTTTATATAATATGGTGACCAAAACTAGATACAGTATTCCAAGTGTAGTCTTACTAAGGCCTTATAAAAGGGTACTAACACAACATGATCTTGATCCTATCCCTCTGTTAATGGAGGCTAGGATTGCATTGGCCTTTTTGGTGGCTGCCACACACTGCTGGCTTACATTTAAGTGATTGTCTACTAGGACTCCAAGATCCCTCTCACAGTTACTGCTACTGAGCAAGTTTCATTAAATCTGTACTTTTACATTTGTTTTTTTCTTGCCTAAGTGTAAAACCTTCCTTTTTCTCCATTGAATTTCATTTTAGAGAGAGCCCAGTGTTCAAGTCTGTCAAGATCCATTTGGATCTTCAGCCTATCTTCTGGGGTGTTAGCTATTCCTGCCAACTTGGTGTCACCTGCAAATTTGATGAGTTTTCCTTTTATTCCCTTATCTAAATCATTTGTGAAGATGCTGAAAAATAATGGGCTAAGACAGAACCTAGGATACCTCATTGCACGTAGATGAAATTCCCTTTGCATATTGTGTGGTTTGTCAGCCAGTTACAAATTCATATGGTAGTAATGTTGTCTATCCTACATTTTCTATTTTACCAAGAAGTAGGTTATGGTCTATTTTGTCAGATACCTTACTGACATCAAAGTGTATTAAGTCCACAGCATTTTGCTGATGCTTCATTTGCCCCTCCCCCTTTAAAAATTATTCAGATTGTGACATTTCTGTCTTTTCATTAGAAATTTTGGAATAGAAAAGGAATGTGCAGCATATATTCTTCAAGTCTGCCTTTCCCCAAACGTCTAATGGAGGGGGAGATTTGTGGATGTGGATATGGATTTGGTTCAGGTAGCTGAGTGGCAGCATTTAAATCTTGAAAAACTAAGGTCTCTACTTAATATTGAATGGAAAACAAGGAGACACCAAAACTGAAACAAAATCATGGCAAACCATTTTTACATTGTTGCCAGGATATGTGTGTGTGTGTGTGTGTGTGTGTGTGTGTGTGTGTGTGTG